TCTGAATGACACTGTCCAAAAAATAGAGAAAAATATCGAAAGAGAAGTATTTTACAATATTAACGAGAATAAGAAAACAAAAATCATTTCCAAAATTATTTTAAACGCATCCACGAATAGCCTTTTTGAAATAAATATTTCGAAATGATTGGTGCGCAAATAATTTCAACAACGCAACGAGTTCTTCGATAACGCTGTAGATTTCGAAGAAACGAAAAGAAAAACGAAGGAATGAGATATAGTTCGAGAAGGTGGATCGGTATCATCGTGTTAGAACATTAGGATTTGCGTCACGCGTGGCAAATATATAATTTATATGATGTAATCGGGTCACGTTCGTTGGGAGAACAAAACTAACGAGACTGCATCTGCTAAGCATATATATATATCGGTGATTCGACGGAACACGAACCATAAACACATATACCGATTGTGGCCCAAAAATGTTCCTACGTAAGTACATCTATAACAGGAAGAAAGTGGAGAAATCGTTTCGTTTCGACTTTGGCTGGCTCACCATTCTTCTCAATTCCTTTGTACGTGATAAGAAATAGGCAATACAGCGTTTATGATATATAGATAAATTGGACAGAGAGATAATACTAAAGGGTAGAGATTTTCGCAAAATACGAGCTCGATTTATTTTTGACAAATTCTCGCTCAATATTCAAGAACACCGATATAAGGGCCTGCAATACTTTTCATCCTTTTCTACGTTCGTTTTACTTACGTAGAATTACATTTTACGAATTCGAGACAAAAGTTCGTTTGATTATTTATATCTGATATGCATGGAAAAAAAGAAGAAAAAATTCGAATCTCTTTCAGATTCAAAATCACGAGAATGAAATCAATTCTCGTAATTCCAATCACTGTGTTTCGTTAATAAAATTTGGTAAAGTTTACGATTCGTGTTTCACACACGCGCACATGTTGTGAAAATGGTGGAACAACGGGGAGACCGCATTGCGCTTCCCCGAATTTAGCAGAGATAATATCGCATAATTCATGGGCGGGGAGAGGGGCGACTTGGTCATCGCCGACGCGCAACAGAGAGTTAGGTACATCGGTGGGTGAACATGTTGGTCGAGTTCCATTTGATGAACAAAAGGGAAGATGGCGGAATCGTATTATCGAAACCACGATGGGGAATGTTTTATCCTTTGAAACGATTATCAACCAGGGATCGACTTGATTAAATTAAATATCGAGTTTACGATGAAAGTGTTTATAATCAAAGTTCGCGCTGATTTCGGTCGATAATTCAGTTTGTCGATTCAATTACCGACGCTGCTACCTCGTGAAACGATGTTTTCAACGTTTGATTCGACAAACCTGTGATATTATCGTTACTCTCTCGAACGAAGGAAATTAAATGGATATTGACAACCGTGAACGAAACACGGATCGGATGAATTTAATGTTGAAATTACGAATCGAACGCGCGATCGGCAACGCGATGAATCGATCGAAAAAAAAAAAATCGAGGGCAACGAGTGAAAACGATCGACGATCCGTGTCGGTTGATCTCATTTACATTCACGGACCTCGGGTCACCTCGTGGCTATCGATCCTTGGTTCCCTTGAATATCGGTCGCATCGATGGACTAGCCGCGGTTTGATTTATTGGCAAACCGCGTTACCCCGCCTCGTGTCCAGCCTCACCGTCCCGTCCAACTACGAATTTGTCCTCGAAAGACTCCATTATCGACATTCCATCGACGATAAAGGTCTTGATAAAGCTGGAATTCTATTTATACGAGGTGACTTTATCTCTCTAGTCGCTTGAGCTGTTGAACATTTCCACGTATTCGACGGGACTAAAGAGTCCATTGATCCTTCTCTATGTTAATATGTTTTCACATCGCGAAAGGGAATTCAAGAAAAAATTTTGAAATGTAGGATCTGAGAAAATGGAATCGAGTTCTGTTTTATTTGATCCAAATGGACGTTTAAAGTTAAATGATTTTCTCGATCGAAAAGGCATACTATCTGATCTGAAAAAGAGAATTAATTGGTTCGTCAAGTATGCGCATGGTCGTAGCAGTTTCGCGAAGCTGCAGGAATTCGCACGTGGTTGAGGGAACTACAATCGTTACGAAGTTTGGAAATCCTACGAGGGAAGTTCGTTCGTGGATCGTGGATAGGTTTCGAGGATCTCGAGGAGGAGGAGGAAGAGGATCAGACGTCAGATACAAATTCCAGAACAGTGGCGGTTAACCGAACCTGTTTACGAACTTTGGGAACGTAGACGCTTGGAGAAAACTTTGAACGAAAATGAACGAAATAAAATTCCATCCGTGGCAATTCCTATCATCTTCTATCACTCCACCCAACCTAAGAGTAATCAAACGCGTCATCTTACCGGTGATAACAGTACCGAATCATAATTTTCTTCCTTTTCAGATAGAATATCAAAAGTCGGAAGAAGGAGGATCATCGTTGAATTCTAAAACGATTTGAGCTTTGATTCGAAAGGCACGAAATTTGGCGAAAATTAAACTCGCATCTTTGCATTTTCATTCAGAGATAAAAAATAAAGAAACTTTTTTAACGAACGAGAAAACTTTTTCCAATCGAGACAAAAATTCTCTCGTGCTTTGCCAAAATTCCTTGATACAAAATTCTTTTCAGATCCTCGTAGGATACGAATTTAAAAAATCACGTTGCATCCCCCGAAACGAAATTTAAAAACTTTTTCTATTCTCAAATTTTTTTTACTCCAAAATTTCTTGATCAACGAATTTTTAAACCCCTTTATAGAATAATCCAGTTCCGAAAGAAATCGACTTAAAAAAAAAATTCCCATTACTCGCTTCCCTCCTCCCTAAATCTTGTTCGTAACGAGATTTTCCTTCATTCCAACCTTGTATCGTAGCTTTCGGGAGAATCGAGAAGGTAATTCTCTCTGGTGAGAGAAGGATTAGAGTGGGGACATCTTCGACGTGGCGAGACGCCATATTTACACCAGGATCTCTCTTCTAATCCTCAACAGTTACGCGAACCGCTCGATCTCGAAAGTGTACCGATCTCCTTGACAACGATCGGAATAAACGCGTGGCGTGAGAATAATAAAAAAAAAAAAAAAAAAAAAAAAAAAAAAAAAAAGTTCGTTGTTCAATCGTCGCATTTAACGCTCGCCACTCGAGAAACTCGTGCAGCTGATGCAGCTGCACGCGCAGCCGCCGTTCCTCGTTAAACTTCGGGAGTTTGAACTTGTGCCACGACAATTTGGAATTCACCGAAACGGCAGATAACGCTTGCCTACTTGAACAGTTTTCCTTGTAGTTTTCACCAGCTTTGCTTCGTTCAAAGAGTATCTCATTAACGAATCGGTTTAATCAGCTTTGTTCGAGCTTCTTCGTTTGAGAGAAAAAAAAAAAAAAAAAGGAGGAGGAATTGAATTCTGGCGAAAATTCCTTTCACCGACTCGAGAAACTACGACAAGATGTATCTGTGTAGGTACATTTTTGGAGTTGATGAGGTGTAAACGGGCTGACGTGAATTAATTCAAGTTGGAAAAAAGTGATGGGAAGAGGAATGCGTGGAATGCAAATTGCACGAGTATACGCGATGCTTCCTCTACGACATCCGTCTACATCGATCGTTGAAGTCGAGGCTCTAACAATTCCCTAATAATAGGAATGCAAATAATTCGCCGCGATGAACAAATGGAAATCGAAACGAAATTTGTCACTCGACGATTTAGATTCGAGAATATGTTGAATATAAGCACATCGAAAAAATTGAATTCTACGCATTCAGAGGAATTGTGCTCAGAGTTCATTATACAAGAGTTTCGTTCCTCGATGCAAAAGGATAAGTTAAGAAATTTTTCTCGAATATACATTTCCACTTGAAGTATAACATTTATCTTAGAATTGTAACAGTAGAAACTCGTACATAGAACGCAACAGAGTTCTTTGGAAGGAGAAAAAAAATTAAATACGTCGTCGACCGAATTTTAATTTTCGTTATATACTCGTCCGACACGATTCTGAACGTAATTCTCAGGTGACGAGATAACCAGATATCCTCGACCCTCCCTCGCGTTTACTTAACACGAACTTGAAGAGCTTATGCTGATTATGAGTAAACACAGTTTGCAGTCCCGCTAATCAAAGCCGAAAGGGAACGACACCGGTGTCGCGTCGTGTCGAATATCTCCCTCTACCAAATAACCGATGCATTCCACGTGTTTGCCAATTTTCTTCGAATACTGTTCCCCCGGGGATGAAATTTATACCAGCGTGCAAACAACGACGACATCCGGCGTGCTTAATAACACCCGATTCTTCGACGTTGCGCATTTCCAATTCCCGTTAAACGATGACGAAGATTAATGGACGGGACGGTTTGATCGGAGTGCAAGGGAGGGGAAAAAATTGGAGCAAAAAAGGAAAAAAAATTACGTTCCTGGCGCGCTTAATTAACGCTTTAATCCTGGTTATGCATCGTGGAAACGGAAACGTTGTTTAATTCAAACAGCTCGTTAATTTCGAACGTAACATTTTCCACGTGACTAATCCAATTTATGCAACATATATATATATATATATGTATACACATCTACTTTGGTTGGCAAACGATTTCAGGTGGATACAAAATTCCTCTATCCAATTTTCGAATATAGCTTTCTTCCCAAAACCACCCCTACCCACGCTCTACTACGATTCTCAGAAACGAGATTTTCCTTACTTATCCCCCTCCTCCGTGTATAAATAATTTCCAGGAGAAATTTGACAAGAATTTCGTGCGATTTAAACTGCGATTGTATATCGGTTTTCAGATATCGCCGGTGGTTACCTGTGCTTTGTCGTCAGCATATTCGGGATCGGTGTGGTGACGGCGGTAATAGGAGACGTGGCATCCTACTTTGGCTGCACCCTAGGCATCAAGGACTCGGTTACCGCGGTTGCCTTCGTCGCCCTCGGCACCAGCATCCCCGGTGAGTTGAGCGAACCTTCCTCCGAGATTTTCTCGGGGAGGGAGGGGGAAGGAGGGGGAAGCTTCCTTATTTTTTTTTTTTTTTTTTGTTTCAACGCGTATTTTCACGAATTTTCCACGCGACGAAATCCGAACGAGCGAGATAAGATTACCTCTCATTGTAATTAGAGGGCTAAGTTTTTTCGTTTTATGAAAGTGCGCGCGTTTCAAGGACAGTTTCATCGACACGAATTAGCACGTTAATTCCACCCACCCTTTGATCTTTGAACCAGTATATATATTCTCGAGAGAATTCGGTGTTGCTTGGATTTAAAAAAAGAACGTATAACGAGTCTAATTTCGAAATTTAATTTTTTCTAAGAGATCATCGAATCCTTCGTTTCTAGATTGCCTCGCGAAGGTACATTTTTAAAGATTCGTAAAGATCTTCGAATCTCGTTGTGCGTCGAGATAACTTGTATCAATTCACGAATCTTTTAATTTTAATTTAAAAAAGTATATTTGTATTCTTTTTTTTTTTTTTTTT